GATGGCTCTTTTCTTTGCATCTTCATCATCAGTTTTCATCTCATGGTAGTCTCTGATGATGCTTGCTGTGCAGCTTCTAAAGCAGACAACATCCTTCTTACGTTCTTGGTTAGTGATGAATATACTATCACCATAGTACCTCTCAAGTGCTTCTTTCAAGTATCTCTCATGATACACTGGGATTTCATCACCTACTATTGCTTTCATCTGTTCATGCAGTTGAGCTACTGAATACACACCGCTTTCCATTTCACTGTCAATCCATCCGCAAAGCTGGTAGAAGGCATTTTCCTTGCAACTATCTACAGGCCTGCCTGGTTTCTGAAGAAAAATAAAAACATTCGAGAATGTGTTCTAGATTAAATTTGTTCATTTGTCATAATAGATTCAAAAGAGACAATGTACTCATTTCATTGAATAATTGTAAGAAATAGTGCAATGGAGAAGGAAAAATATATTAAGAGTATGAAGAACCTGCAAGAGGAACGTACGAAAAGCTAACTTGTTTCATCAAGCAAATTTTCTTCAAAATGAATACTTTAAATGTGTGTAGGACTGCGTTTATTTAAAAATGATCAGATGATTAGCCCCCGACCAACTATTGAATACCTCTTTTAAAATGTGAAGATTTCAATGTTTTACATTGTGACATACTTTACAATTCCGCAGTACCCAATATTAAAAGGAACTTTACAAATATGTACATGGTTGTATATTGTATTGATTTACTTACATTACTTTGCCCTGGAACATTATACATGGAACAGTAGCATTTATTATGATAGACAGCCTCTTCCGCTACAAGATCTGCCATGCCTTCCAAGCGTCCTTTCACAGCCATTCCAATACTATCTTTTCTTTCACTTGCGATTCTCAGAAGTGATTTCTTGAGCGTGATAGTTGATGCTCGATGTATGGTTTGCTGTCTACTAGGATGTCTTTCATCAAAATTGATGTCCTCATTGCATATGAAACATCTTTCACTGTACGGAAATCGAGTAGAGCCCTGGCCTGAAAATATTATAAAGACAAAGTTAGCTGCCATCCCATGAAATCACCATACTAACTTCAAAGCTCAAACATTCAAAATTCACACATAATAATATAAACAGGTATGGGCTTGGAATGTTAAAGAAATTTACATGAATCAAGTAAGAAATTACTCTATCTTACCATGATCTTTGTCATCATTTACAGCTTGAGACACCTTTTGTCGCTTTTGTCGTGGCGCATGATCTTGCTCCTCAACATCTGGCTCCTTTTGCAAGAAAAGACTTCGGCATCTACGATGGACTGTCATAGGAGTGTTGCTAGTCCATTTTGTTTCCAATCGCTCTAATAATGAAGAGTCGTTGATACGTCTACACTGCTTTATTAGACTATCATATCCCTTTCTGTACAACCTCTGTAGCTTTTCTACTTCTGAAAAATCCTCACTACATATTTCACATATATCCATCTTGGTAATTTTGTTATTTGACAGTATTGTTCCAAAGTTAAGTCTTGACTGTTCAAATGAAAGCAGTCAATAATTCTATGCGATGCCACTGGTTCTTAATTACAGCCGACATCACTTTCCCTGCTGTATAACAGACTCGCTGCAAGGAGCACCAAACTCCTCTCCTTAATAATAAGAAACTTTTGGGACATCTCATTTCACTGGGGTTACTAGTCCAGCTAGTACATGTAGGCAAACTAGGTTTTATGAGTAATCACTCCAGAAGCAAAGACCTCATCGACACATTCATGTTGTTTATATTATCTAGGGTGGCCTATCTCAGTAGGTTTTTGATTAATCACTCTAGAAACAAAGACCTCATTCATGCTTCGAGTTATATGTATATATCTGGGGTGGTTGTTTTTGGATTTAATATGGTGCTCCGAATAATGACCTTTGACCTTTGAGGTCATATGTGGCGGTCAATTTGTTATGCTATATCACAGGAAATTAAATTTGTTATCCAATATCACAAGAACTTAATTTTTTTCTACTTCCAATGCAATTGTGAGCATTTTGACACCAAGATCATACATGTACCATATGTTGTTGCCGAGATACAATTTATAGTGTTTTAGTGCAGGGTCAATGACCTTTGACCATCTGAAAGAAAATGTTCCCCTCCCCCTCTGGTTTTGGAATAGGATTAACCCCCATACCCGCCACAATAAGTTGAAATTAGCCACTTCGATTTGTTTGTGCTCATTTCTATATAATATGGTCATTTTCCGGTTACTAATGTGACATTTTAGTGATAAAACGTCTATTTTTGACCTTTGACCTCATTTTCGGAGGTCAGGATTTTAATCTATGGGTCAGTAGTTATTCTATGTCATCTTCTTTTGTGATTCTGTGCATTTTGACACCAAGTTCATCAATTTACCATATTGTATTATTGAAATATAATTTTTTTGTGATTTAGGCAGGGGTCAATGACCTTTGACCTCCAATAAAAAATTCTCCCCAACCCCCATACCTCCTCCCTTTTTTTTGGTAGTTGTCCATACCCATATCTACCCAAATCAGTTGAAATTAGCTTCTTTTAAATTTTTTCACAGATTGGCTAGATATATGGCTAATTTAGGGTTACTAGTAGGGCTGGGTCAACCATTGAGGTCGCTAGGGTGTTACACGGGTTTGGGAGAAAGAGGGGGGGGGGGGGGGTGTGACAGGGGCAAGGGTACAATGTGAAACAAAACAATCCCTTTTGTCTATAGTGCACAATTAGTATTGAATCTGTTTAATTACTGTTTTTGTTATTTTGTAGACGCAGAAAACTTTATTTTTGTACATGCTGGTTTTCGATGAGATATATAGGAAACATATTGCTTTGTAAAGATCCTTGGTCCTGCTTTCTTTCATATCTAGTCTTATATTTGTTTTTATCTATATCATAACCAAGAACTTATAGACATTTATTTTCCCACCACATCTAACATGTCTAACTTTTTGCAGTTTCACCTCCAACAACTACTGAAAAATCGTCAAGTTCAACAGAAGAAATCAATGAAAGCACAATTCCAATAACAACACGTTCTACAAAATCAGGTAAGTAGATGCTAGGTGGGATAGATAGGTTTTCGCTAGATATAGACGCGACAAAGCTCATACCAAAATTAGTGAAAGATTTACAGCGAAAAGCTTCTATTTGAGTATTGCGATTGTTAACTACTGACTGGGGTGCAGGCACTTTCTTGACTTGCTGAAATAATGTTAAAGCTTATCTGCACTAGTTTTGCCAGGAAGACCTCCCTGCATAGTCACTGACAGGTGGTTATCTCATCAAATCGGCTCTCCGTTAACATAAAAAGGGAGACCATGGGGGAAGGGGGGGGGGGGGCAACGGTTACCGATTAGGCATTGTTTGCTTTAAAGAGGGCGCAAGTAGCTATAAGTAGTGCAACGGGGTTCCAAAGTATAAAATCTGTTACGGGGTACCTTAGATATGTAAAATAACAGATAGCAGAAAGATAAGTGTTAGCTAGTATAAATACAGAATTTAGTTTATTCAACAAAGACAGGATACAATTCGTCGACTTGGTCTTTTTCCATCTGACCTATCTCCCCCGCCTCCTTCTCTCTCTCCCTCTCTCCCTATATCTCCCCATCTCTGTCTCTCTCCGCCATCACTTACTCTCTCATTCTCCCTCTCTCTTCCTCTCTCTCTTTCTATACATACATAAACCACACCCGATTTTATAAAGTGATATCAAGTTTGGGTCTCGTCCCCAAAGGGTATTTACAAACGAAAAGTCAAATCATCATTTTTAATAATAAAAATTCTCTATGAAATTCTTATTGTTTGATTCGGCTATCATGAAAATATAATAATTCCATTTGTATGCACCATTGCTGGCGTACAGTTCAATTTGATGTCGAGTCTGCAGCCAGGATCAGGTGACACAGGCGTTTAAAATGGCAATTCGAAAATCGATTTGGCTCTGTCAAAAAGGTTTGTTTTATACAGACTTTAAAAAAAAAATTTGGTGTAAAATTGAGCACCTGACTTTACTCTCTAAGTATTCTATCCTATATTTCTGTTCTATCGTTAGCTTTCGGTTTAACGAATTGCTGCATTTTTTTCCATCTATTTTTTTATATTCTATCTTCCAGTATTGTTTGCAGGTGCTGGTGGAGGAGGCGCATTTCTTCTGATACTTATCATCATAATAATTGTTTTCGTCACATGTAGACGCAGGTAAGCTATATAATAGTGGGAATGAATATAATCTCAAAATTAAAGATGTGTGAAGCACATATCTACACAATAAAGTGACACAGTAAATTAAAAAAACACGTAAGAGCACATTGTTGTGGTATATTATTCTGACTCTCAATAAACTACTCTTAAAAACATCTTTCAGTGTATATTTTCTTACCAGGGGGTTGCACTCCACCTCTTGTTTTACTCCATGTGTATTTCCCCTTGTAAGTCCACCATTTCCACAGGTTTTCGTCTTTGGGGAAAGAAAGTAGACTTACTCCGCCTTTTCCGGTGCTAATACTCCCTGGGCCATAATACACTATGATGGCATTTTTGTAAGTAATCAAGCTTATTAGTAACCCTAAATTAGCCATATATCTAGCCAATCTGTGAAAAAATTTAAAAGAAGCTAATTTCAACTGATTTGGGTAGATATGGGTATGGACAACTACCAAAAAAAAGGGAGGAGGTATGGGGGTTGGGGAGAATTTTTTATTGGAGGTCAAAGGTCATTGACCCCTGCCTAAATCACAAAAAAATTATATTTCAATAATACAATATGGTAAATTGATGAACTTGGTGTCAAAATGCACAGAATCACAAAAGAAGATGACATAGAATAACTACTGACCCATAGATTAAAATCCTGACCTCCGAAAATGAGGTCAAAGGTCAAAAATAGACGTTTTATCACTAAAATGTCACATTAGTAACCGGAAAATGACCATATTATATAGAAATGAGCACAAACAAATCGAAGTGGCTAATTTCAACTTATTGTGGCGGGTATGGGGGTTAATCCTATTCCAAAACCAGAGGGGGAGGGGAACATTTTCTTTCAGATGGTCAAAGGTCATTGACCCTGCACTAAAACACTATAAATTGTATCTCGGCAACAACATATGGTACATGTATGATCTTGGTGTCAAAATGCTCACAATTGCATTGGAAGTAGAAAAAAATTAAGTTCTTGTGATATTGGATAACAAATTTAATTTCCTGTGATATAGCATAACAAATTGACCGCCACATATGACCTCAAAGGTCAAAGGTCATTATTCGGAGCACCATATTAAATCCAAAAACAACCACCCCAGATATATACATATAACTCGAAGCATGAATGAGGTCTTTGTTTCTAGAGTGATTAATCAAAAACCTACTGAGATAGGCCACCCTAGATAATATAAACAACATGAATGTGTCGATGAGGTCTTTGCTTCTGGAGTGATTACTCATAAAACCTAGTTTGCCTACATGTACTAGCTGGACTAGTAACCCCAGTGAAATGAGATGTCCCAAAAGTTTCTTATTATTAAGGAGAGGAGTTTGGTGCTCCTTGCAGCGAGTCTGTTATACAGCAGGGAAAGTGATGTCGGCTGTAATTAAGAACCAGTGGCATCGCATAGAATTATTGACTGCTTTCATTTGAACAGTCAAGACTTAACTTTGGAACAATACTGTCAAATAACAAAATTACCAAGATGGATATATGTGAAATATGTAGTGAGGATTTTTCAGAAGTAGAAAAGCTACAGAGGTTGTACAGAAAGGGATATGATAGTCTAATAAAGCAGTGTAGACGTATCAACGACTCTTCATTATTAGAGCGATTGGAAACAAAATGGACTAGCAACACTCCTATGACAGTCCATCGTAGATGCCGAAGTCTTTTCTTGCAAAAGGAGCCAGATGTTGAGGAGCAAGATCATGCGCCACGACAAAAGCGACAAAAGGTGTCTCAAGCTGTAAATGATGACAAAGATCATGGTAAGATAGAGTAATTTCTTACTTGATTCATGTAAATTTCTTTAACATTCCAAGCCCATACCTGTTTATATTATTATGTGTGAATTTTGAATGTTTGAGCTTTGAAGTTAGTATGGTGATTTCATGGGATGGCAGCTAACTTTGTCTTTATAATATTTTCAGGCCAGGGCTCTACTCGATTTCCGTACAGTGAAAGATGTTTCATATGCAATGAGGACATCAATTTTGATGAAAGACATCCTAGTAGACAGCAAACCATACATCGAGCATCAACTATCACGCTCAAGAAATCACTTCTGAGAATCGCAAGTGAAAGAAAAGATAGTATTGGAATGGCTGTGAAAGGACGCTTGGAAGGCATGGCAGATCTTGTAGCGGAAGAGGCTGTCTATCATAATAAATGCTACTGTTCCATGTATAATGTTCCAGGGCAAAGTAATGTAAGTAAATCAATACAATATACAACCATGTACATATTTGTAAAGTTCCTTTTAATATTGGGTACTGCGGAATTGTAAAGTATGTCACAATGTAAAACATTGAAATCTTCACATTTTAAAAGAGGTATTCAATAGTTGGTCGGGGGCTAATCATCTGATCATTTTTAAATAAACGCAGTCCTACACACATTTAAAGTATTCATTTTGAAGAAAATTTGCTTGATGAAACAAGTTAGCTTTTCGTACGTTCCTCTTGCAGGTTCTTCATACTCTTAATATATTTTTCCTTCTCCATTGCACTATTTCTTACAATTATTCAATGAAATGAGTACATTGTCTCTTTTGAATCTATTATGACAAATGAACAAATTTAATCTAGAACACATTCTCGAATGTTTTTATTTTTCTTCAGAAACCAGGCAGGCCTGTAGATAGTTGCAAGGAAAATGCCTTCTACCAGCTTTGCGGATGGATTGACAGTGAAATGGAAAGCGGTGTGTATTCAGTAGCTCAACTGCATGAACAGATGAAAGCAATAGTAGGTGATGAAATCCCAGTGTATCATGAGAGATACTTGAAAGAAGCACTTGAGAGGTACTATGGTGATAGTATATTCATCACTAACCAAGAACGTAAGAAGGATGTTGTCTGCTTTAGAAGCTGCACAGCAAGCATCATCAGAGACTACCATGAGATGAAAACTGATGATGAAGATGCAAAGAAAAGAGCCATCATCAAAACAGCGGCTTCACTGATTATCAATGACATCAAGTGCCTTAATTTCAACAAAGATGACTTTCCTTCGCTCAAAGAAATGACATCAATATATGAGCTGCCAGATTCTCTTGAACTGATGTTAACATGCTTAATGCCTCATTCATTTGTTAGACGAAATGTTGCAGGGCAGAATATCATATCTTCACAACGCCCAAGATCATCAAAGATGCCTTTCCAGCTTGGCATGAGCTTATACCTTGATCACAAGTTTGGTTCAAATAAGCTGATTGACGTCATGCACAGGCTGGGTGTATGTGAAAGTCAAAAAGAGACAGTGAACTACAAGTACACGTACATTGACTTGACTAATAACACAAATGCAGCATCAATGGCAGTCCTTGAGAAGCAGGTAGAGCAACACATTGGTGACAACATGGATCATGATTTGATTACATTAGATGGAAAGTCAGGTTTTCATGCCATGGGGCAGATCAAAGTTACCACTCCAGAAAATGCCAATGCACTTGAAGTTGATGAGAATAGGAAGCTGCAGAGGAAGCCAATCGTGAAGAGTAATACTCTGGCAAATATGGAAGGTCTGCAAAACTACGTGCCTCAACGAACAAATGCTCTACTGGACACAAAACTCATTAAGTATGAAGAGCTTCAGCACAAAATACCAGAAAGATCCATTCCTACAGATGCATCTGTCATAGACTGGTACAATGGATGGGTAGAGGGAAGAACTGTTCATCCTAACTTCATGGGGTTCATGCATCAGAAATACAACGGACTAGCATTGAAATCCTCCATTGAGTTTCTGCGCATCATCAATGCGAATCCAAATGACATGCAGACAATATACACCACCATCATGAAAGCCATTAAAGGAACATACCAATCCCCAGCAATAATAACATTTGATTTGCCGCTGTTCATCAAGGCATCTCAAATTGTTAAGGAGCAGAAGTTAGACGTTGTTGTGAGGCTTGGAGGATTTCACTTCCTGAAGAGTTACCTTGGTTGCATTGGCTACATCATGGAAGGCAGTGGTTTGGCAGAAGCCATGGAAGTAGTCTATGGACCTAATACAGTCAAGTACATCCTGAAAGGTGCAGCATACTCAAAGGCTCTGAGAGCGCACTTCTTAACAGATGCTGCGCTGGTACAACACATGATGGGTGAAAGTGACAGCGAAAGTCTTGATGAGAGACTCAAGGACTTGCAACAAATGTCAAGAACTGCAAAGCTGTGGGTTCTGTACCACCAACTTGTAAGAACAGCGCAAGATTTCATACTAGCAGAAAGACTCCATGATTGGCACGGACATCTGAATGCCGTTTCTAAGATGATTGGTATATTTGCCGCAGCTGGACATGGGCAGTACGCCAAATTTGGACGCATGTACTTGCAAGAGATGCTTAGACTTCCAGAAGATTATCCTCGGGTTAGTATACGCAAACTCAATCCGATCTTATTGCAACTAAATTTATTATCTGGAAGCATGTGTTTTCATTAATGTTGGACTTCAGTAATATCACTTCAAATCTTTGGCTGTCCTCTTGCCCTCTTACCATGTTTGGGCTGGCATCATCTCTCATTGCACATATCTGCATATTTCAGTTGTCTTATGTTTCCATACTACCCCCTATAAATATATTATAGATACATTTTAAGGATGTTCTTTGTATTTGCAGGTGTATGAAGCTTTCATGGAGGGAAATCACACAACACGTTACAGCGATGAGCAATTTTCTGGACAATTTTCTGACCAGACAATCGAAGAAACACTTATGCGGAAAGCCAAGTCAAATGGAGGCTTAACAAGAGGAAGAATGCGTAACGAGAACTCTGTGAAAGTATGGGCTGGCACGTTTTCACATCTCAAGCTTCTGGGGGACCTGATGGAAGAAATGATTGGTGGAAAGCGGAGTAAGAGGACCCACACAGACCTTGGGGCAAAGCGTCTAGAGAAAGACAGCCAGTACGTCAAGTCCATATCTGCATGGTTTTCAACTCATAACCCCTTCATAGAGGTTAGTATAGATCCGTTGCATATATATTGATAGTAGCACGTACAGAAATCATTCCACATTTCAGTTACCATTTGTGGAACACTTGACTTTAACATCTATGTAAAATGATATTTCATTTTTCATTTCAGGTAAAAGACCCCAACACCATTACTTCGCTGTCGAGTGGAGTAATAACTACCGACAAGGCAGTTGTCAACTGCGATGATGCAGTGAGGATAGGCCATGAAATGCAAGCGGATCTTGATAATGAGTCACCAGTTAAGAGCATAAGGACGTCAAAGAAATGCAAAAATCTGGCTGACCTTCAGAAGAAAGTAAAGGTAGGCGACAAGAAGATCTACATCGAAAAGACCCTTCTTTTCAATAGATTGATTATCATGGCAGAGAGAGATGAAGGGATTGAACACATATTCAAATTTGAGCTGACCCCGGTCCCAACATCTCTCTTCACAATGGATCGCATGATGAGGAAACCCAAAAAGCATGAATTTGGCAAGATGCTCAAAGAAGCAGCTACAAAACTTGACTTTGATATAGACAACAAGATGCATGTTGTTGATGGAGGGTGGCTACTTCATCAGGTAAAGTGGTCCAGTGGTGCAACCATCAAGACTATAGTCGATACATATGTCAGGTATGTTCAAAACAAATTCAAAGATGCTACTGTAGTGTTTGACGGCTACGGGGAAGAATCGTCAACAAAAGATCATGAACATATGCGCCGGATGGCTGGGAAGAAGATTTCTCCGGACATGAGCGTCACACCGGAATTGACCATATCATGTGACAGAGAGGTTTTCCTGGCAAATGAGAAGAGCAAAGGAGCCTTAATCACGATGATATCTGCAGAGATGGCAAGCCGCAATATCACTGTACGCCAAGCAAAAGATGATGGTGACACTCTGATTGTTAAGTCTGCGATGGACTTGGTCGAAAGTGTTAATTCCCCAGTTGTTGTTGTCGCCCAGGACACTGATATTTTGATATTGCTCTGCTATCATAGGCCTGTCAACTGTACTAACTTATATTTACAAGCAGACTTTGATGGTCTTTACGACATCTCTAGCATAGACATCGGAGACCAAGAAGAGTTCCTCTTCAAATATGGCTGGTCTGGAAACGACACTGTTTCATGCATTCATGGACATACCAAATGTGCTCTCTACAAATGCAAATTTCCTGCCAGTGTCATTACTGCATTCACAAGTAACACTTCAACAGACTCCACAGTTCGAACAGCTGGGTTAAGAGCGATGCAGATCACATATGGCTGTGGGGATACTCCCCTTGAAAAATCTCGCTATTTGAAGTTCAAGAAGCAAGCAGCCAAGGGCAAAATCGATCCTGACCGCCTTCCACCAACGGAAGATGCAACAGCTCAACATTCCCTTCGTGTCCATCTTCAAGTTGTGGTATGGAAGCATCTGGACACCGCTATTCTTGATCCGAAAGGAAGAGGATGGGAGTTAGATTCAAACAGAAAACTCAGACCAAAGATGCTGTCTGTTGGTATCGCGCCAGACAACCTTCTGAAAGGGATTTGTTGCAACTGCAAAGAAGGGGAGAGGCAGTGTCAAACCATGAAATGCAGCTGCATGAAAGCTGGCATGTCATGTGTATCTGCATGTGGAGTGTGCTGTGGACATTGCTCTAATGGAACAGATAGCATAGATGCAGAAGAAGTTATTGGTAGCGATGAAGAGGAAACAGACTGAGTATTATTAATTTATATAGTGTTGCCGATATAGTTATTGTAAGTTCTAAGTTGTGAGTAGTATTCTGCAAATTGTTGATTATAAATGCACATATACTCTACATATACTTTGTGTATACAAACTATTTGACACTAATAAACTTTAACCCCCCCCCCCCCCTGCTCATTTTGACTTTTTACCTCGTATTTTGGTGGTGAAGAATCCATTTCATATATTGTTTGTCTCCTAGTATAATTCTGTGCATTTTGACACCAAGATCATCTAGGCCTATGTAAAACATGCTGTTGCGGAGATACAATTTATAGTGTTTAAGTGCAGGGTCAATGACATTTGACCCTCAGAAAGGAATTGTTCCCCTCCCCCTCTGGTCTCTGAATAAATAATAACCCCCATCCCCGCCACAATAAGTTCAAATTAGCCTATTTGATTTGTTTGTGCTCATTTATATTATATATGGTAATTTTCCGGTCACTAATATGACATTTTAGTGATAAAACGTCTATTTTTGACCTTTGACCTCATTTTCGGAGGTCAGGATTTTAATCTATGGGTCAGTAGTTATTCTATGTCATCTTCTTTTGTAATTCTGTGCATTTTGACACCAAGATCATCTATATACCATATTTTGTTGCTGAAATATAATTGTTTGTGATTTAGGCAGGGGTCAATGACCTTTGACCTCTAATAAAAAATTCTCCCCAACCCCCATACCTCCTCCCTTTTTTTTGGTAGTTGTCCATACCCATATCTACCCAAATCAGTTGAAATTAGCTTCTTTTAAATTTTTTCACAGATGAACCTTAAGTTAGGGATACTATATAGCCCTATTTATTCACGGCTAACAAAAATAACAAACAACCAAATTTGCGTTTATGTCGTGGCTTTATTAACATTTTGAGATGGACGCTTATTTTGAACATTTTGATTTTCTGGGTGTCATAACAAAATAACACAGATATATTGAATCATAAAAAATGCTTACAAATGCAATGCTAGGCCTCCCTATGAAATCGAGTGATGCCTAGGTTAAACTTATATACATTAAGTCATTATATCAGCCCCCCGCCTATAAAATCGAGTGATGCCTAAAGTTATGCTAGGCCCCCCGCCTATGAAATCGAGTGATGCCTAGGCTAAACTTATATACATTAAGTCATTATATCAGCCCCCCGCCTATAAAATCGAGTGATGCCTAAAGTTATAGAATATAGATGTATATATATACCAGCCTCTCCGCCTGTAAGATCGGATGATGCCTAAGATGAAAGCGTGACACCCTGAGTTTGAAAATGTGTAGGTACAACTAGGTCCCCCCGCATTCAAATCGAATGGGGGCCGGAAAACTAAGAATTGACATGCGAACAAATTCAACTGAATATACATTGGCAACCCCCTCGCATGTAAAAATTGAGTGGGGTCGAAAATTATCGGATGACAATTATTGATCAATAAACTTATCAGTACCATGTGATTAGTGATTTGGAGGCATAATTTGACAAATTACCGCCAAACGAGAATATATTTATATATGATCGGCCGCCAAATCACAACGTTGTCATCACTAACGATTTCTGTGCACCAAGGGAATATCTATGCTTAACTATTTACACTTTGGTGGAATTAACATTTCAATTGGCCAACTTAACCAATGTACATGTACAGGCATGTACTTTTTCGCCCTTAGCTAATTTATAACCCTCTAACAGACTACAGAGTATCGTAATAAACTTATCTCTACAACACCGGCACATCATTATGCCTAATTCATTCCCCTCAAAGAAGTGACTAAACCGTTAATGCCCATTTCGAAATGAAGCATTCGCAAAACTGGTCATTTACCAATGTCCACCTAAACCTGCCCCATATAACCATTATTTACTCTCCACAACTTTGTTACTCCCAAAATAAGGCACTCTTTAATTATCCCAACAACAAAAACATGATCTTGCGGTGCCGGACTCAAACTTTTTTGCGGGATTTACTTTGCTACCCGAACAGACTTAAACATTGAAATATAAGAACGCTGAAATATAAGAACACTGAACTATAAGAACATTGAAATATAAGAACAAACAACGTGTTTTGTAACTTTATCATTGTTTAACTACTTGGATGAACCGAGATAGGACAGGCCCTCCTTCAGGTCAGTGATAAACCTGTCCAAACCCTCATTGGAGAGATGCAATCCGTCCGGCCTATATAAAGCCATATCCTTCCCAATAAACAAAATCACGTGAAAATAACGTCAATATCAAGGTATCGACTTAATAATAATAATAATAATACATAACATTTATTAGGCGCTCAATACTGATGTTTCTAAGCGCACAGTGTTCTGATTAAGAGAAGACTATAACCCGTAGAATTAAATTAGAAGAAAAAGCAAAAATACAAAAGTAACATAGATAAGGTAAGAAAAACAGGAGAGTTAAGGAGAGTTACGTTCTTCAAACACCGGACATTTACGTAAATGTGTTAATACGTTTATTGCACTAGGTCACTAAAAACACACGTACACTAAATCACGCAATTGTCACTGCAATATCACCATTATAATAACGTGATTATCCCTACCTTGGAGACCATGGTTTGTAAACTTAATACTCCCGTGTTTGTTTGGTTATGAAATTACATCTTCATAAACGAAATTATCGCGTCACAGAAACACGTGAAGTGTTAGTGATAGTTTAAGTCAATATATCTGCGTGAAATTCACGTGAATATTACGAGGCTGACTTGAGATGAATCATGTACTTCATTCACGTGAAATTTACGTCGAAGAGGAAATATGTTAATGTGACCCGCGTTCTACCCAATAATTACGCAAATGTTACACAATAAATGAACCAAAATAATGACCTTCTCATCCCGTTTCTAAACATCGTGTTTTGGATCTTCCATAATTACGCCCAGGCGCGCCGGAAGCAGTTTGGGATTAGAGGGGGTGGGGGTGGGGTGGGTGCAAAAATCCCAGAAGAGAAAGCTAGTTGCAACTGGTCCAGTTGATGAACCAGTGTATGCCAAATGGTAACACCGGAAATTGAAATGGGCTAAATAATGATCCAGTTGATCCAGGCCATTGTCTAGCTGAGCCATTAGAACCATATGGTAACACTTCCAACCAGTTGAACGGCAACAACACTTCAATACTGGTACGTCTGTATTTCCAATGTAAAGGCATTGGTAATAAGAAGACTTACATAATTTAATTAATCGAACTTTTTTCATATACTTGTATTTTATTGAATTATTTTAGTTCACAGTTAATGTTTCCCTTATTCACGTTTAATTAAATGTAATTTATACGAAGTAGCCAAATGTCCTAATAACTGGTAATTTATATTCTTCAACTTGTCTAGCTTCAGATAAATTGTTTAAAAAAAAAAAAAAAACCCAAAAAAAACAACATAGATCTGCACGCACCCCATATTCAATATGCAAATTAATTGGTGTCAACTGGAAATATGCCAACAGTCAGTCATCAACGGGTGCAACCGGAAATATGCACACAAACCAGTTATCAACTGGCGCAATGAAAATGTGCTGACAGTCTGTTATCACACCTGATCAGGCGCGTAGCCACGGGGGGGCACGGGGGGGCACGTGCCCCCCCTAAATTTCCAAGATCGAGCCAGTAAGGTATCGAAGCAGGTGACCCAAAGTCGCTCAGTATATATCAGAGCAGAATATATATTCTGTAACCCAGGTGATATAGTTGCAATAGTAATGAACTGGAACTATATTGTCTCCTGGATTATACTGATGACCCAGTAAGATACTGTAAAACTAGTCGTCCAGCGCGCGCGCGCTACTCAGCTACTGTAGATCACCGCCTCTGGGGCGGTATTCTGAACCCTGTGTTATCTCTAATATTGTTGTATCTTTGAAGATAAGATAAAGTTGGTATTCTGAACATTGTTGTAACTTTTGTGTTATCTTTTGTTGTATCTTTTCTCTCATCTTATTGGCCGCGCCTGCGCTCATACTTTGGTGCGCTTGTAATTGTGCGTATTATTAATAAAGTGGCATTTAATTCTCATTTGCATATGCGCACGGGAGATAATATGTCGAGATAATTGGTATTCTGAAATTTTATCTTATCTTATCTTGCATGTTATTTACAACAATATTTACAACAGGTAGGGGGTTGTTGTATCTTTCGTGGTGATATAATGGCGGCAATATTTTTTGCCCAGAACCAACTTCGTGCCAATAGACGAGTTAGAAGAAGATTGTGTGTTGACCGGAAACATCACAGATGAGAACTTTCTAAGATATTACATGCTAGGATAGGACTATTTTAATGCTCTCATCTTAACCAATATAGTGAAAGCGTGATTTGTCTTCATGATCCACATTCAACAGCGCATAATGATGACGCGCGTAATAAGTGCTCAAATAACTAATTACGCCCAAGATTAGTATGCGCTAGGCGCATCTTCAGATATGGCATAAAGTATTCCTATTGGTTGATCTACTTATCATGCTTATATAAAATAGATTTTGATTGGTAGGGTCCATAAAAATGGGCGTGTCATCAATGGTCAAAGATAAGATAGAGGCGGTCCTTCAAGAGATAACACAGGGATAAAACAATGTTCAGAATACCAACTTACAACAATATTAGCGCTGTGTTATCTCTGGAAGATACAACAAAAGATAACACAAAACTTACAACAATGTTCAGAATACCACCCCTGGATTATATTCTGTAACAGTAACTTACTGTGGAAGGCTTGTGCGGAATACGCGTGCGTACCATTAGGCAGCGCAGCCTATGCCATATCCTGCGCATGCTCGACCGGCTGTAGCGGCGGATCCAAGAGTTTTTTTTTTAAGGAGGGGCATGAAGTGTTATATCGGCATGGGTCCCGGGGCCAAAGGGCCCCGGAAAAAAAATGAACTATAAGATGCTTTATGGTACATTCTGAGGCATTTCTGAATGCGTAAACTGAACATTTATTTGAAAATTCTGGGCTTTCCCTGTTTTTTCGGAAGGAAAAGGGGGCATGCACCCCAACGCTCCCCATGGGTCCGGCCCTGGCAAGGCTAGCTAGCTCGACGCGATCCGGCAGGGCTAGCTCTCTGCAGTACGCCCAGGACTGGCGTCGACCGCCGGCGCCGCCGCTAGACCCGCCAGAGCGCCTAGCTAGATACCGTACCTGCAGCTAGCATCAGCTACAGTTTCAGCTGGTCGGCGCAGCTTTTTAGCCTTGCCTATGCTGCTGGTGGTTCCTTGTCTTCACTCCAAAAATATCTACAATGTATAGACTACCGTAAGTTTTAAATATGTCTATAGATATTCATCTTAAATTAGAGGAATAATCGATAAGGACTAGATCTAGGCCTAGTCTGATATTGTTTGAAAAACATTTGCCTTTGTATTTCATGAATAGTCCCAAATATAAACTTTTCTGTGTGTGATTCCATCGTTATTTGTGTGTGTGTGTGTTGGCAATTTTTCTACGAAAAAGTGTTGTACAATCAAAATTCATCCAACTTGAGCATACCAAATTCCACTTCACACTCCTATAATTTCAATGCATAAGGTCTAGCCATTAATTAACCGGTATCAACCTCATGAAAATCATTGGATTTTACTAAGTTAA